TTGTTAATTCCAGAGCTTATTTAGCCACCCACTGTTGATAGATGTTTAGAATGTTTGCAGTTTGTTCAGTGCTACAATAAATATTTCTGTGCATGCCTCCTTGACACATGAGCTAGGTTTTCTTTTTTTTTTTTTAAGATTTTTTTTTTATTCATTTATTTGAGAGAGAATGAGCTAGAGATAGCATGAGAGGGGGGAGGGTCAGAGGGAGAAGCAGACTCCCTGCTGAGCAGGGAGCCCGATGCGGGACTCGATCCTGGGACTCCAGGATCATGACCTGAGCCGAAGGCAGTCGCCCAACCAACTGAGCCACCCAGGCGCCCTGAGCTAGGTTTTCTTAAGGGGATAGAGAGAGAAATGGACTGGTGAGGTATGTGATTTCAAAGTAGCTTCATCATTTTGTATCAGCAACATATGGAAGTCCCTAGTTTCTCCAAAGCCCCTCATCACTTGATATCAGATCAGAACTTTTTTTTTTTCAGAACTTTTTTTTCAATATGATGGATAAGAAATATCTTAATTGCTAGTAAGTTTGTGCATCTTTTCTTTTAGTATGTATGTTAGCCATTTTGCATTTCTATTATATCATATCCTTTGTTTGGATTTCTTTTGGGCTTATTTGACTTTTTCTTATTTATAAGAATCCCTTTTGTATTTTCTTATGTATTGTTGACACCAACCGCTTCGGCTGTATATATTGTAAATCTTTTTCATTTGGATTGTTCTGATCCTGGTTTTGCTGCTGACTGACTAGCTTTGTGATTTGCGGGGCATTGTTTGACTTCCACAGAACCATTTTTGACCATTGTAAAGTGAGAATACACCACCTCTTAGTTACTGTGTAATTGTGAAATGCCAGTGACAGAGTGTATGAGCCCCGTGATTTTTAGGTTCCTCATTTGATTTCCGCGAGCCATTTCTCAGCTATAAATTGTGAATACACTAGTTTATAGGTTTATTGGGAAATGCCAGTGAAAGAGCATATAAAAGTGCTTTGGAGAATAAAGAATAACTTCAAGTGTAAGGCATTTGTCCTTTCTTTGGCTTTGTTATGACTCATCCCCAGGAGTTGGCTTTTGTGAAGCATGCTACATCTTCACAGATTAATCAAACTCTGAGAGGTAGGTGTCACAACATACCACTTGTTTCTTTTTATTCTACACTCTTTCAGGGCAGGGAAGAGGTGTGTAAACAAGGTATGTTCACATTGAACTCCTGTGTTCTTGGAACGTGTGAGGTGGGATGGAGGTGGAGAAGAACGGTATCAGGAGACTCTGACTTCATCACCCATAGTGCTGGCCGCAAGGGCTGACACAGTAGAATCAGGACACTTATGGAACCAAATGTCTATGAGGTTAGAATTAGCCTGCCCTTTCTTACTGTCGTGGTCCACCTCTCAATTAGAACACAGTTTTCAGAGGCAATTGTTCTATTCCACCACAAAAGGGAAGTATGAGGGTATAATTTCCGATCCTGGTTACCTTTTGATTGATGACTGCCCTTTGCAAACAGATAATTCACTAAAACATGATAACCACCCTTTGCTCTGGGGACACTCAAACTCAGATACCACCTTAGACCTAGATAACCCTGTGCCCCTACCCTATGCTGCATGCTTTAGAGGGCCCTTCCTTTAGAGGGCCTATGCCCATACCCTTCTCGACTACTCTTCAAGTACCCAGGACCCAAGAATTACCTGACAAAATGTCGTGAACCTGCTTTTGAGGCCTGCAGAGCCTCTTTCTGAGTCTGTCCTCCCAAAGATGGATCAAGCCATTAGACTCTACCCCTGATGTGTGCATTACTGGGTCCCAGGTGTGACCAAGGTGACTGCTTAGTACACCTACAGCTTGGGTGTACTAGCTCGAACATCTGTATACTATACAAGGCTTTTTGAGGTACAGAAAGTGTGTGGGGAAAGAAAGGAGGTGAATCTGGGGCCAGCGTCATCCACTTATACTTTTGCTCCAGCCCTGCAGCTGTTGGAGGCAGGTCTGCCCAGTGGATCCTCTCCTTTCTGACCATCTGCTTATTTTATGGGTAGAAAAAAAAGCCATTGAGGAATGTTTTCTTCACCACCCATTTAGAAACTGGGTATCGCTGACTCAATGTAGACCCCAGTTAATCTCAGAATAATTCTCAAAACGGGGGTGGGGGTTGGAATGGGTGAATTTCCTGAAGGGAGAATATCAGTGCATCTTCCTCTGTCTCTCCCCTGGGTAGGCAGTGCTGCTGATGCTTGGTGAAAGGAGGGAGGATTCTGCTGACACACTGTATTTTTATGAAAGAAGGCTAAGGGTTCCCTTATCTCTCCACACAAGGCACATCTGCCTGCAAAAGTGTCGTCTGCTTCTGAGGGATGCCTTTGTCGTTCTGTGTCTTTTCTGAATGTTTTAAGGCACAGTTTTGGTGCATTCCTTTCTGTTCTCTAGAGCCAGGGGGAAAGTCAATATATCAGGGCTTTTGCTGAAGAACTTAAAATGGGCGCTGGCAGCTGGGATGTGGGGGAAGAGAGCTTTCCAGGGACAAGTGACCTGCTTGTTCAGCCAATGAGAAGCAGGTTACAGAAATGATATCACCAGACAGGCTTTATTGTCTGATCATCTCATAAAAGCAGGATTGTGTCTGGCAACTTAACCCTTTTTTAGGTACTTCAGCTCTCACCCACTCTCTGGTATGTGACCTCCAGATTCTTTTTCCCAGCTGTCTGCTGAGAGATCACAGAGATTAAAGATTTAAATTGGTGATGAAATTTGGAGAGTTGTAAACCATCATTTTAAAACTACAATTTATTAAAATTTAGAACCCCAACTAGAATGGGAATGTCAACTACACTGTTTGGAGAGCATATTAAAGCTCCCATCTAATCATGTTACACCAGGCTTTTGCTGGATAGACTTGGGAGAGAAAAGGAGTTAGAGGGAAAACAAGACTGAGCCGTTAGTCTATTTTAATCTACATAAAGGGGTCTTAGTAAGAATTTGCTGTTTTAGAGGAATTGGAATTGGTTCTGAACATTTGGAAAATATTACTGATTCTGAGACCAATTTTGAGTAACAGATATTTGTAGTGTTTGTTTATATTTTACCTCTTGATTATCCCTTCCCCCATAAAAAATGTCAGTCATTTTACTTCTTCATGCTTCCTTTCATCACTGGTAAGATGCAGGTGATGATCCTACCTGATCCTACACAGGAGTTGAGATAAGAAAATAAACGAATTTATGTGATTTTGGAGTGTGCTACGCACATGTATTATAGTTAGGTCATTCATGTCTTAAGATTGCATGTTCGTTCATTCATTTGTTCAGCAGCCTTTTTCAAATCGTTCTTGATGCTGGGCACAGATACAGAGATAGAAGTTGTAGTTCTTACCCTTAAGGATTTTAAAACGTGGGGCGCCTGGGTGGCTCAGTCGTTAAGCATCTGCCTTTGTCTCAGGTCATGATCCCAGGGTCCTGGGATCGAGCCCCGTATTGGGCTCCCTGCTCAGCAGGAAGCCTGCTTCTCCCTCTCCCACTCCCCCTGCTTGTGTTCCCTCTCTTGTTGTGTCTCTCTCTGTCAAATAGGTAGATAAAATTAAAAAAAAAAAAAGGAGTTTAAAATATTGTGAGGCAGACAAACAATAATAGAAATGTCTCATGAATCTATTGCATTTACCATGTTCCAGGCCCTTTTCTGAGCACCTTAGCATATATTAGTTCATTTAATCTTACTATAACGCTGTGAAATAAGTACTGTTATTAGCTTCATATTACAGATAAAGAAATAGAAGCATAGAAGAAAAAAAAAGAAATAAAAGCATAGAGACGCTAAGTGACTTGCCTAAGGTCACACAGCTAGTTGGTAGAGTTGGGACTTGAATCCAGGCTGTGTGGCTCTAGAGTCTATTCTCTAAATCTCTGTTGACCAGTACAGTAGTTACTAGCTATATATAGCTTTGGAGGACTTGAAATGTGGTTTGTCTAAATTGAATGGGACTGATTTCAAAGACTTAGTATGAAAAAATGTATCTAATATCTCATTTTGAAATCACATGTTGCAGTGATAATATTTTGGATATACTAAGTTAAGTAAAATCTGTTAGAAATTAATTTCACTTTATTTTTGTGGCTACTAGAAAACTTAAAATTACATATGTGGCTTGCATTTGTGGCTTAACATTTCTCTTGGACTGTGCTACTCTAACTCGTTATAATGCAGGGGCACTTGGGTGGCTCAGTCGATTAAGCATCTGCCTCTCTCTCTCTCTCTCTGTCAAATAAATAAATAATATCTTAAAAAAATAAATCGTTATAATGCGGTAGTAATAACAGGAGACATTTGTTGAGCACTTACTATGTGCCACATACTGGGCAATACCTTGACACTGTTCTAGTTAAACCTCAAAATAACCCTGTTTATTATCCACATTTTAAGAAGGGGCAGGAGGTTTTGAGAAAGTCAGTAATTTACCTGAGGTTAGTCCACTCGTTAATGACAGACCCCAAACTTGAAACCTTGTATGTCTGACTCAAAAACCTGTACTCAACCAGTACACTGTAATACAATTTCCAGTTAAATCTTAGGGCATTTTCTTTGTTTTTATTTCTATAAGAATATTTAATACTGCATACTTCTGTATCTGGTATGTAGACGTTCAAGATAAAAATCACTAGGTCATAAAGTGGACCTCCTAGATCAAAATCTCTTTTCAGAGCCTCAGCCCTCAGTGAACACTGGCACAGTTGAACCCTAAGATGAAGCAGTGAGTCAGCCTGTACAAATTGCATTTAATTTTCATTCCAGTAGTTCTCTCAGGTCACTGGGCAATTTATGTCATGACCCTCTTTGTCCAATAGAGAGAGGAAGAGGGGCAGTGGAGCTTTCCTTAGTCGTTTAGTTCTCTTGGCTAATAAGAAGAAAAAATTGCTTTCCATTTCATTGTTCCATGAAATGCTGTTTGTGTTTGAGAGAGCAACAAAACGCTGTCTAATGATCCCTGACTTTTCTTTCTTTTAGAGCAAAGACTCAGGTGGACTGAAGGCGGCTATGATAGAGTTGGTGGAAAGGTTGAAGTTCAAGAGCTCAGATCCTAAAGTAAGTATTGTTTTGGAATTGATTGGGTATTGTATTTCGTTCTCCCTGAGCTGAGTTCGAGGGATGTTAATGATCATCTATCTGAACATCGCTTTGAGATCTAATTAAGCCTGCCTATCAGAGCAGTGTTTTAATATGCCTAGAGATAAGTCATCTGTTTTTTCCCTTCTGTGTTTTATGACTTACAACATATAATCATTAATTGTTTTCCCTGAACTGCAGACAAGTGCGTTTTTAATCTTCCTTTAACAGGCCTTTGAGACTACTGTCCTCTGTGTCCATTAAACTTAGTCAGAGGCATCCAAGGTACTGATCATCTTAATGCTGGGGCCTGGAACAGGCTCCAGACCCATCCAGTTGGTGTTCAGCACTAGTGTCTTGTCTTTCTCCCACTTACAGCAACCAGCAGCCACGGTGAATGCTTCTGTCCTCATGACCTGGAGTGTGGTCTGGGAAATGGCTTCAGCTTCCCAGCTTTCTTTGCAATATGTTGGGAGCTATAAGATTGATATTCTGGGAGACTCCATAGTGGGGTGGGGTGGACTGGGATCTGAGCATGCCGGAGGGAATCTGACTAACACAGCCTCCCTTCTCCTACCCAGAGACTTCCTGTGGCACTACTGGATATTGGTCCCAGCTGGCTCTGCCTGAGAGTCAAAGCCTGTTACAATCCAATAGGGAAAGGAGCACAATTTTGTTTGACTTTTTGTATCCCCACCCCCTTTCTTTTAATTTAAATTTCTTTATATGGGGAAAAGACTAGCATTTCTTGAGTACCCACTGAGAGAGCCAGAACACTGTGCTAGGAGCATTACATATCTTTTTTTAAAATTGTGGTAAAATATACATAATGAAATTTACCACTTTCACCATTTTTAAGTGTATAGTTCAGTGGCATTCAGTATTCCCATTGTTGTCCAACCACCATCACCATCACCATCCATCTCCAGAACTTCTTCAGTTATTCCAAACTGAAACTTTCTGCCCATTAAACACTAACTTCTTTTTCTCCCTCTGCTCTTGCGTACTTGTGATTTTTGTAACAACCTGGTAGAGTAGCTTATTATTCCCATTTTATTGATAAGGACACTAAGGCTTAAAGAGGTGGGGCCATTTGCCCTGAATCTAGTATAATTTATTTATTTATTTTTTGAATCTAGTATAATTTAGAGCTGGGATTCAAATTGACTCCAGTACCTGCGCTCTTTCTTTTATGTCACATGGCAGACCAAGCACTGGGGTTCATCTCCTTTCTACCATCTAATCCCGTTGTGCCCCGATTTTCTAATCTGAAACACTATCGAGGCGGAGCCACAGACAGTGACAGGCTTTTCAGAAGGTGGCTGCAGTCTCCTATCTACTAAATAACTTTCTCTTCATACAGCATTGAAAGTATTGGACATTGGTAATATCTCTTGCCTTCTGGTGTAGTTAGGACTCCAGAGATAGAGGGTATCTTGATAGAAAAAAGTTGGTGTAACCTTTATCAATTTTCTTAGCTCAAAGTAGAAAGACCCTTGGTATAAGTAGTTTTCCTTTAGTGAAGATGAACTAATTAATTATTAAGGATTACTGAAAGCTTTTTTTTTTTTTTTACCGAGTTTTTCTGGTTTCTGGGGCAACAGCTATCCTGAAGGAGACAACTGTATTTTCTGTTTCTGCCACACCCCCATGCTTGTAGGCAGTGAAGAGCAAGAGGATGTATACAGATTACACTGAGTGGCTTCTGTGCATGATGATAATACAGGTAAAGTGCTTTGGGGTCCTTTATGAATGCATAGAGTGCCTCTAATAGGAAACTTGCCAGAGGTGAAAAAATTGAGTGGTCCCATGAGAGCAGCTTGTAGAAGTCTCAGGATTTTCCCATGGTGCATCATGAGCTAAAGGATATTTCTTAGGACCAGACTTGATCTTGGATATGTGCATACACACTCACCTCTTTTATCTTCTCTTTATCTTGTCCTGAATTATTTCCACCAATCTCCTTTATTTTCAGACCCCGTTCTGGTCTGCCATATGCATATACTGTATATACCTGGAGCCAGCTTGAAGAAGGTCCAAGTCATTGCAGAATGACTGCCAGATCACAAACAGGTGGGGGGAGGGTGGAAAATGGGACACTATATACATAGTTTTTGCAACAAATAGTTGTCTTCCAAGAGAAGTTTTTAGTCTGTTCTGCATTCCCTCAGAACTCTACCATCCCTTTTTTAAGTTGGCCTATTTAAGAAGGGCAGAATCTCTCAGGCTTTATGACCTGTCATTTCCTGGCACAGGAGCTTTTCATAGAAGCACTGATTTGAGTCATGGAGCACTGAGCGCTATCACTGCCTCACTTCCTCTAGAATTCCATAAAGCATCACAAAGCTTCATTAGTCCAGACACTGAAATCTACTGGGGACTGAGTTAATTTTTACCTCTGAGTTTTGTCAGAGAGGAGTGGAAGATGACTAGATTAACCATTTTTTTAAATTATAAAATAATATATGCTTATAGATTAAAAAATACAGATATTCATAAAGAAAAAGTCAAATTTCCCCCAAGCTAACCACTATTAACAATTTGGTGTGTAACCTTCTAGACATTCTTCCCTGTGGAAATATACCTCTAAGATTTTTTACAAGAATTATACTGCACCTATGGTTTTTATTACACAGAATATTTTGGACATTCTTCTGTGTCAGTAATGTAGACTTAATTTTTCTTCTTAATGAGAAGCCTCATTTTGTCCAAAATATTTGTCACATGCCCTTTTTTCTTCCAGACCAGTTGTTCTTAACGTTTAATGTTCATAAAAATCACCTGGAGAACTTACAGAGTGCTGGGCCCACCCCCACAGTTGCTGATTCAGTGGGTCTGGGGTGACTAGAGGCTATGCTGACTCTGGTGATTTTCCTTCTCTCTTGTTTTGATTTTTTTTTTTTTTCATTCCTTTCAGCAAATGGCCAGAAGAACCCTTGTAAATAAGTCTAAGTGATTTCAACTTCAAAAAAAGTGAGATCCATAAAAATCCAGGCTTAGAAAACCAACAAATTGAGCAGAGGTAGCAGAGGAGCAGGGGAGAGGAAAGGGAGGTGGCCTGTGGCTGCTTGAGAGGACAGGATTCCTGTAAAGTGCCATATCCAGCAGAGAAGCAGCAGGGCCCAAAGAGTGAGAGGAGTTCTGGTCAGGATTTACAAGGATCAAGACTCATGCCATGGGACAGGAGTGGGTTGAGTTCCAAAACCAGAGGAACAACAGGAGACACCAAATCCCAGCCACTAGGAGTGAGCCTGAGGACAGGAATCAGAGCCAGTGGTGGTTGGGAAATAAGGCACAGAACCAGATTAAGTTGTGTGCATGCACTACTGGGTTTTACCCCAAAGATACAAATGTAGGGATCTGAAGGGGTATGTGCACCCCAATGTTTATAGCAGCCATGTCCACAATAGCCAAACTATGGAAAGAACCCAGATGTCCATCAACAGATGAATGGATAAAAAAGATGTGGTGTGTACACACACACACACACACACACACACACACGAATATTATGCAGCCATCAAAACCCCCGAAATCTTGCCATTTGCAATGACGTGGATGGAACTAGAGGGTATTATGCTAAATGAAATAAGTCAGTCAGAGAAAGACATGTATCATGTGATCTCACTGATACGAGGAATTCTTTTTTTTTTTAAAGATTTTATTTGACAGAGAGAGACACAGCGAGAGAGGGAACATAGCAGGGGGAGTGAGAGAGGGAGAAGCAGGCTTCCCGCCGAGCAGGGAGCCTGATGCGGGGCTCGATCCCAGGACCTGGAATCATGACCTGAGCCGAAGGCAGACGCTTAACGACTGAGCCACCCAGGTGCCCCACGAGGAATTTGTAATTTTAGGAAACAAACTGAGGGTTGCTGGAGTGGTGGGGGGTGGGAGGGATGGGGTGGCTGGGTGATAGACATTGGGGAAGGTAAGTGCTATGGTGAGCGCTGTGAATTGTGTAAGACTGATGAATCACAGACCTGTACCTCTGAAACAAATAATACATTATAAGTTAAAAAAAAGAGAGAGAGAGAGAAGATGGTAGGAAGGGAAAAATGAAGGGGGGGAGGTCAGAGGGGGAGACGAACCATGAGAAACTATGGACTCTGAGAAACAAACTGAGGGTTCTAGAGGGGAAGGGGTGGGGGGATGGGTTAGCCTGGTGATCGGTATTAAAGAGGGCACGTATTGAATGGAGCACTGCGTGTTACATGCAAACAATCATGGAACACCACAGCAAAAACTAATGATGTAATGTATGGTGATTAACATAACATAATTAAAAAAAAAAAGTTATGTGCATGCAGGTTGCTATGGTGAGCCCTGTTTTAAAGGATGCATATTTCCAGGGATCTAGAACTTTGTATATAATGGAGAGAGTATTTTTAATAACAAACAATCTTTGTTTAATTCAAAGTAGTCTTTTAAATAGTAAGCCATCCCAGTGTGTTTGATATTATCCAGTTTGCAAACATATTTTTTTCAGTCATACTTTTCAGAAACATTTATTGCACAAAGTAGGATTTTTGTCTGTAGATTTCTTATATTTATTATAGACTTTAGGGAAATTAAAAGATGTAGTTAATCAGGCATGTGCATGTCCGTGTCCATACCTGGATTTTTAAGAAATTGAAGGTATTCTGAGTTCTTTAAAACTCTCCTGTGAAGTGACTGTGCAGTTATCTTTCATATATACCCAGTGGAAACTGAAGCTCAGAAAACACATGGAGTCCCTTCCCTTCCTTCCCACTGCCCAGCCTCTCAGAAAGCACTGAACCAAAAACATAACATGCTAAACTCAATCCAACTAACATCTTACTATGCAGTTCATAACAGCCACTCTCTCTGTTAGTATTGATTGCTTTTCTTTCCATCTAACATGCGCTGTTCCTTGTTCCTATGGCTGGTGTGCTTGAAACAAACAGAAACACAGCTGTGTATCATGAAATCATAGTAATCTTACAAGAAGTTATTCTCAAGAAAAGTGCCTTAAACTCAAGCCAAGTGGCTCACATTATTCTCTCAGATTGAAGTGGGATTAAACATGGGACCTAGCCATACTAACACTGCCTAAAACATACCAGGTTTTTTTTTCTATATTCAATGTCTGAAGGTGTTCTTACTGAAGTTTAAAACCAGAGAATTGTCTAGCAACATGAAATTAAATAGATCTGAGAATTGTTTTATTTTTATTTAGCATTTACATGGCATTTTATAATTGCAAGAGAACTTTACAGTCCATTTTAGTAGCTGATATCCTTGACATGGAACATAGCCCAGTTCTTCACTCTCCTGTGCTAATCAGACTCTTGTTAAAATGATAGGTTCTGGGCTCCTGAGTGGCTCAGTTGGTTAAGCGTCTACCTTTGGCTCAGATCATGATCCGGGGTCCTGGGATCAAGCCCCATGTCAGGCTCTCCACTCAGTGGGGAGTTGGCCTCTCCCTCTGCCCCTCCCCCTGCTTGTGTTCTCTCTTTCTCTCAAATAAAATAAGTAAAATCTTAAGAAAATCTTAAAAAAAAAAATTTAAAAAAGACTCATTAAAGAAACGATAGGTTTTGCATGTACAAAGAGTAATGGATATAAGCAAAACCTACTTGAATTCTTGTTGTTAGTATCCTGTTATTTACCAGGGTCAAGCCAGGCTTCATGCTGGTCCTTGCCTTGTCCCAACACAGAAGCATTCACTGGGGCAGTGTTTATGCAGCCAACTGAAGCAGAGAATTGAGCTGCTTCAGTTATCAAGTTGATTCATTCAAAAGTGTTCCTTCAGTTGGAAAGTTATTAGAATTATTGACCTATTTCTACACTTTTCATAAAAAAAAGAAGATGTAAGTAGTAATCTTGAAGGGCATTCATAGTGTTTTATCTCTGTACCCTCAAGTCCTAGCCTGGTAGTTACTAGATGATGTAATAGTAATAGATATGCGTTATCTATTACAGTAACGCTATAAAAGAAATATTACTTGTCCTTTTTTATGGAGGAACAATCCAAGGTTTAGAGGGGGTAAAGAGCTTGCTAGTAAGTGACAGGACTAGGACTTCACATGTGTCATACTTCACGTTCTTCCCCTGCACACAATTGTTGAACCCATAGATGAGTAAATATAGAAGTATGTGCTGTCCTCATTAGCAGTATGACTCTTCACTGACTATTTTTCCCTTACATTCTCCTTCCTACCTGCCTTTACTAGATAGGGCAGCCCACAACCCCAGGGTCCAGGACTGGAGAATGGCCTTTTCCAACAGAAAGTATGGGGAGATGGAGAGGAGTTGTGACAGCCCAGAGCATTTAGCACTGGAAAAATGAAGAATTGAGGCTGGTGCTTCAGTAGTTTCCCATTAGTGATGGAGGACACCAGATGGGAAAATACCTGTGCTGTCTCAGGCCTGAGCTAGGCTCTGAGGCATGGAATCCACCAAGGAGCAAATGCAGCCCCTTTTCATCCTCTGTAAACACTTGGGTGGTAGAAAGGGGAGAAACAAGCTCTTTGCCCTCCTTCACCATACCCCTGCCTTTATCAAAACAAAATGAAACAACTTCCCCTTTTACCCATCCCCCAATTATAAGAGTGTTACATGCTGTCTAGAAAATTGTGGAAAAAACAGACCAGTATATATAGAAGAAAAAAAATCTCCCTGCAGTCGTTTGTAAACTTTGAGTACCTCTTTTTTCAATTTAATTTAATCTTATTTAAATTCAATTGATTAATATATGGTGTATTA